GGAAGGAAGGGGACGGGCAGGCCCTGAAGGAGAGAGAGAGAGAGATCGAGACCGAGACCAGGACACAGGAAGGTCCTGAGAACCCAAAGGACAGAACAGGCAGGAGAACATGAGAGCATCTTCGTTGGATCATACCAAAGGTCCATCTAACCCAACATCATCTTCCCCCAGTGGCCAATGAGAAGCCCATGGAAGGCCTACACGCAGGGCACAGAGACCAAGCCCTCCCACTGTTGTCGCAGCCCCCCGCCCCCCATGTTGGATCATACCAAAGGTCCATCTAACCCAACATCATCTTCCCCCAGTGGCCAATGAGAAGCCCATGGAAGGCCTACACGCAGGGCACAGAGACCAAGCCCTCCCACTGTTGTCGCAGCCCCCCGCCCCCCAACACTTGGTCTTCTGACTCTAAGCTTGGAGACTTTGAGGTTCCATCCAGTCATTGTTGCTAATAGCCAGGGATGGACCTCACCTCCATGCATACGTCCAATCCCCTTTGAAAGCAATTTAAGTTAGTGGCCACCATGACCTCTCTTGGCACAGCAGTCAGTTTCATGAGGAAATTATACATTGGGTGAAGAAAGGCTGTCTTCTGTCTGTCCCTAAATCTACAGCCCTGTACGTGAACTTCATTGGGCCCCCCAATTTAATTGTCAGCCTCCAGGTGGGGCCTGGAGGTCTCCTGGAATCATAACTGATCTCCAAACCACTGAGATCAGTTCCCCTTGAAGGCGGACTCTGTGGCATTATAACCTGCTGAGCCCGCTCCCCTCCCCTCCCCTCCCCTCATCCTGCCCTCATGAGGCTCGACCCCTAATCTCCAGGAATTTCCCAACACAGTTGGCAACTCTGCCCCTAGCTTTGAGTACAACAGGGGAGGGTGAAAAACATTTTTTCGGTCCACTTCCTCCACACCATCGGGAGGTCAAAAGGCCCAACCAATCCCAAACTTTCTCTTCCCATCCCGGCCTGCACAGACAATCCAGACCGCACTGCTGCTCCCACAGAAAAGTGACACATCCTCTTCTAATCCAGTCAAAGCCTCCAGAAGGGAGTCCTATCTGCCTCGACATAGAAACAGCCAGAACATGTCCCAACAGCCTTTGAGGGGAATGAGCAATTTCCCCACAAATTTCTTTCGAACGATAATAGCGCTGTGCCTCAGCTACAGATTTCAGTGCCTGAGGCGGGCTCCCTCTTTTAGGTGCAAGCTGACCTCTACGGGTGGGTGGCATGCTTCTGAGCTTCTTGTTCCTCTCCAGTATTCTGTGCCTTAATTACATTACATTACATTACACTTTCAACTTATATACCGCTCCTTCCTGAGGGCTCAGAGCGGTTTACAGAGACATTTAAATCGTCCTAACTAGGGCCACAGTGCAAGGGGAGGGGTGAATGTCTACCAGGCACCCGAACAGCAGGGTTCTTTCTGTGGTGGGTTCTTTTTCCGTTTCAAGGTGACAGTGTCTCGGCGGAGATCTTTTTCCGCAGCGAACACGCACGTAACCTTAAGCCATTACTCTATCATTTAGGTCGCTATGGTC